ACCCCCTCGTGTCCTTGTGTGTCCAACAGGGGGCAGGTCTGGGTCGTATCAAGCCAAATGTTTTGCTGATGGGTTTTAAGAAAGACTGGCGCTGTGTCTCGCCTCAGGCTGCACATAACTACATAGGAATACTGCAGTGAGTACAGAGTAATACTTCATGAGCACAGTTCACAGAGTAGTATAATTTGTGTTTCTTTATTTTATATTGTTGTAGTGATGTTTACTGCTTCATCTTTATGTGGCCATTGTCCTTTTAGTCAACTGCTTTATCTGGTTAAGAGCTAATAAACTTTTTATTGGTGTTATTATTAATGTTTTATTATTATTGTTATTATAGTTCTGCAATAAAGCTGTTAATATCAAAACTTCACCTTTTAGTAAAATAATAGAAGCCATTGTGTGTGTGTGTGTGTGTGTGTGTGTTCCAGTGATGCATTCGACCTACACTATGGTGTGTGTGTGCTGAGAGTGAAGGAGGGACTGGACGCCTCTCGTCCATTTCAGTCACACGGTGAGAGTCTTCACTCAGACTAGAGAGAGTCGGTGAATTCATTAATCGACTGCAGCGACTTTATTATTTTATTGAGTCCATGTTATCTTTCCTCAGTGAATCCCGGTTTCGATGGAGGACCAGAGAGTATAAACACTCCTGCCTCTATTCAAACCAGCGTTTCATGTCTGTACATTCATCATCATGTTATTTATTATTATTTTTCTATCACATATTCAAGATTCTTTGATTTAATGTCATTCAGATGTATAAACAAGGTTTCCTGTGTTTGCAGCGTCTGTCTCCGTGGATCCAGATCCTCAGCCGAGTTCAGTGTTTCAGGAAAAACAAGGAAAGAAGACGATCGACATATACTGGCTGTCTGACGATGGAGGTCTGATCATCCCTCCATCCATCACCTTCTTGATCTCAGTCTTGAACATTATCTCATTATCGAGTTATAAAAAGTCCTGACTTTGAATTTTCAGACAATTGTCTTGACGTCAGTGATAAGGTTGAATATCTCGATCTTTATCTCAGATGAGGATGATATTTGTGTAGATGCCGTGAGATGTGTGTGTACATGCAAACATGTTTTTGTGAGTGTGCAGATGTTCAGAGCATATTGCACATCAATCTATCCTGCACACTTGTTGTTAAACTACACACTGTGTGTTTGTGTGTGTGTGTCTCACCAGGCCTCACACTGCTGCTGCCCTACTTGTTGACTCGCAGGAAGCGCTGGGCCGGATGTAAAGTCCGAGTGTTTGTGGGAGGAGACACAGACAAGAAGGAGGAGCAGAAGGAGGAGTAAACACTTTAATTACCACCTAACAATTCCCTTTAGTTCAGTGTTTTTAGTTTCACCCCTCGTTCAGCTCCACACATTTGAAAAGGTGACAGAATAAAGTTGAACTAGTTTAACAGCAGCAGGTGTAACTAGAAACATTTTCATGATTTAAATTATTCGTCCACTTGAGAGACGCAGAAACAAGCTATAAATGCAGCTCTGAATTTATTATCACCTGAAATCTATAATAAATAGTTCATCCTACTTATTCTTATATTTACAACTTCCAGTCTGTGTGAGCGAGGAGGCGGAGGTCTGCCAGTGCTGAGAGGAAAAACAGAATTAGTGATAATTATGTGTGAGTTTGACATTAAAAACCTTAAACCATTGATAATATAAACATTTCAGAGCCGCTTGAAGTGTTAAAGTGAGTCAGTGTCTGTGAACTCCAGCAGCCTGGGACTGGGACAGTGAAGGATTCATATTAATTCATGTGAGAAAATCTTTTGTCTGTTACATCAGATCTGTTTTTATTTCAGGGTGCTGGCGCTAATCAAGAAGTTCCGTCTTGGTTTCCATGACGTCGAAGTGCTTCCTGACATCTACCAGCTTCCTCAGCCTGGGAAGTAAGGACGTCAGAGCTGCTGCATGAGACTGAAAACCTCCACCGATTTGATTGTGCTTCATTCCTGCTTTAACAATTCTTTGGGGATATGTATGCACCACAATCACTGACATGCTCAGATGCTCAACGCGGGTTTTGTTTTATCGTGTGATGTTGAGACCCTGTCATTAAAAGATTCCTGGAAACGGATCTAGATTTTAAATGTTTGTTATTTGAGTTATTTCAGATTCTTAATCCTAAAAAAAAAAAGAGGAAAATGGAGGGTTAGACGTTTGCAGGAACATGTGTGTTTCCACGTTTTCTGCAGGGCTCAGGGTCTAAATGAAGTTCCTTAAACCTCCATGTGTGTCTCTCCAGCGTTCTTCAGTTTGAGGACTCGGTGAATCGATTCAGGCTGGACACAAATCCCAAGCAGGACTCTGACTCTGGGCCACGGAGGCAGCAGGAGGAGCCCTGGATGATCACTGAGCAGGACTTAGAGAGGAACAAGGCCAAGGTCTGACCCACAAACACGTGTGGATACAGCAGGCATAGAATCATCAGTCTGAAGTTTCTCTGTTTCTCTGCTGTCTGTTAAACGTCTCTGTGGGATTCAGTCTCTCCGACAGATCCGTCTGAATGAGGTTCTGCAGGACTACTCCAGAGAAGCTGCTCTCATCGTGATGTGAGTACAGTCGTTCTTCTTTTCACGTCATGGCAGCGACACCAGAGCAGAAGGAGCCGCCTTTAAATCCCATGACGTAATAACTGCTCCTAGTTGACCTGTGGATGTTTGAGTCTGAAGCTTCATGTGTTAGTTCATAGTTTTAGTTTCACATTGTAGGGACTAAAGAATTCTGTCTGACATACATACGTCCTGTCGTCATCACCTACGTGGGCTGCGTCCACCTATACTTGACTCTGATTGGTTCGTAGACGGCGCCTGACGTAGCTTCAGAGGTACGAGGAAGGCGTGAAGGTGCTTTAACAGTTTTCATTAAATGTCTCGGCAGCACCATGCCAGTGGGGAGGAGAGGAGTGTGTCCAAGTACCTTGTTCCTGGCGTGGCTGGACGTCTTGTCACGTGACCTCAGACCCCCGGTCCTACTGGTCAGAGGAAACCAGGAAAACGTTCTCACCTTCTACTGCCAGTGAACTGTCTCCATAGCTGTGTCCCAGTTCAGGGTGATGGGACACTGTGACGCACTGAACTGGGACACAGCTCATGACTTTAGTGCACTTTCACTGAAGCAAATGATTATTCTGACGTTTTTATCTTGTGCTGGTTAATTCTTTGATGGTCGTTAATGATCATGTAATCCTGTTAAAAAAGAATTCATGAATAATTATGTCAATATTATGTTGATGCCTTTTACTTCAAATTATCGATGATAAACATGTTTCATAGATACTAGAACCGTGACTCAGTCCTGGAGACCTACTGATTGTAAGGACAATTATTTGTATGATTTGTGTTATTGTCAAATTATGTGCACGAAAAATATTCTTTAAATGTATCTAACAAAATAACAAAACTAATTATAATTATTTAAATGTATTAAATTTAATATGATTGTTGTAATGAACATGATTTTAATAACAAAAGACTTGGAGCACTGTGGTGACTGAACAGTTACAGCCCATCGTCCATGGTTTGATTCTCTGGAACTTTACCTTTATTCGTCTCTCTCCCCGTGTCTCTGTCATGTGAGTGTGTATGTTATATACGTGTGTTTTCTCCAATAATGTCAACTCCACATAATGTTAATCAATTATCTGTGTGATGATTCTGACCAGTTCCACATATTTAATGTATGAATCTATAATAATTCACAGTTTCATACATGTAGAATAAACATGTAGTTGAATCTTTGTGTTGTGTCTCTTGAATATAAAGACGTGCTGCAGTAAAGCAGGCTGCAGTGTGACTCAGACCCTGAATCCTTATCAGCATCACAGGTGTTAACAGACCTTGACCTCTGACCTCTGTTAGAGGGACTGTCGTGTTTGTTTTTCCAGTAAGTTTAATCTGTATCAGAACTACACGTGGTTTAGACGACTGAGACACTGGTTCACAAATTATCTTTCAATGTTAAAGTTAAAAGTGTTGCCACGAAGAGTGTCTGTCACTTCACAATGATCGAACCAGATCTGAGAGATTATTAACCTCACGTCTCTCATAAGCTCATTTGTGCAGAATATTCAGGGTGTCAGCTCCGAGTAATGTTGGAGTCCCGCTTTACTGGACATTCTTCATTCCACAACAACCAGTCTGGCTTCATTCAGCATCTGGAAGCTGTTTGCAGTGGGTCGTCAGCCTCTGTGTGTACGTGAGATTAGATTCAGGTTGTGTTGATGCTAAAACGTTGTTTTGAAGAACTCACGTTTGAAATCAGGCAAGAAAAGGCCAATAAAATAAAAATATGAATAATGTAACAAAATAAATATATATAAAGGGTTTTAATTTCATAGTTTCTTTTCCAGAACTAAATCATGTAACATGTAACATGCAACACGTGACATGTAACATGCAACATGTGACTGATGCAACAGTGAATAAACAAAGCTGTCAGTAAAGAGTGAGACTCTCAGGTGGTGCAGACAGGAGCTCTCACTCTGATAGTTGTAGTTTCTCACCTTAAGGGTTAAGTGGGAAAGACTCAGGTAAAGAGGAATCTCAGAAATTTAATTTAAAAATAATCCTGGTGATGCTCCTCTAGTGAGTTTCATCTAAATTGTACAAATTGTGATGTGAAGTTATTGACGCCTGCTCGTCAGTGGTGATGAACTCCACACATCTGCAGCAGGTGTCTTTATTTACATGTGCTGTGATTTGTTTTGTTGTTTTCTTAATTCGCACAAGTCGTTTCTATGCGCATGTGTTTGTTAACTTTCTCTCAGGTGAACATCAAACTCTTCTCTTCTCTCTGCTCCTCCAGTTTATCATTTGGTTTTTTTTGGCACAAAATGGCGCCTGGGTCCAGCGCGCCCACGAGCCTCTGCTCTCCATCGGACGATCTTTGGAAATCACGACTACCGCGCATGCGCACAGGAGTCCGTTTCCTGTGCGCAGCGTCACGGGCTGTGTGAGCCAATCAGGAGCGGCCACCGTGTGTTTGGAAACATCAGCCGAGGACCCGGATGACGGAGACATACAAGCGGACACACACACACAGACACACACACACACACAGAACCAGAATCTACACAACCGTCCACACACACGTCGTGTCCGTCTCTTGTCCTCCTCTGCGGATGAGAATCATTCCGCTCAGTGTCCCCGCTTTTCACACGTTAGCGTCGCATCGGCAGCGCGAGACTTCCGCTTCGACATGGACGGGGCGGATTCTGGACCGGAGACGATCCGTGTCCTCATAAAGACACCGAACCAGGTCCGAGAGGACCAGGTCCTGGAGGACGTCCACCCCGGCTGGACCGTGAGGGACCTGAAGACGCGTCTGTCCGCCGTGTACGCCACCAGGCCGGTGAGCTAGCTGCCCCTGTTAGCATGCTAACGTCGGCCACAGTTGTCAGGGGACACGAGCCAGCTGTTAACATCTGTGTGTGTGTGTGTGTGTCTGTGTGTGTGTGTGTGTGTGTGTGTGTGTGTGTGTACACTAACAGAACTTGATCAGAGACTTTTATTCTTGAGATCATTTTTAATGAATCAATATTTACAAAAACAATAATAATAATAACATCAACTTCAACTGTGATGACGAGAATCAAAGTTATTCGAAGTTCAGAAGGTGTCCACGCTTCACAGGGACAGTGTCCAGGTGGGACCAGGCAGCAGGGGACACCATGTGAGACACGTGTCTGTCACTTCATGGGAAACGAAGCCATGTGTGGTTACTGAGATAAGTTTTAGGGACTGAAACTGACACGTAGTCAGTCAAAGCCAGGAAGTCCTGCCCTGTGTAAATAACCTGACTAACTACATGCATGTACTTTTAACATATCTTAGAAAGCTTCTCTGAAACCAGCTTCACACATTCGTCATAAAAATTCACTTCCCTGGCTCTTTCCACCAAACACAGACATGCTCTGAGTTTTCCACACAGCAGCTGAAGCTGGTACAACTGTCGCTGGCTCTGTGGAAAGTTCTCAAGGTTGATCAAATCCAGGAATGACCCAAGTCAAACAGCTGTGAGGATTTACGGTGTTTGAGAGAACCTGTGTTTTTCTGCTGTCCATCAGGCGGTGAGGGACCAGAGACTGATCTACGCTGGTAAACTGCTTCCAGACCATCTACACATCAGAGATATCTTCAGACGGGTTCGTGCCAGTTTATTTTTTACCGGTTTTACCAGAACAAATTGCAAAACAGCAACAACAGTAATAATAACAAAAGAACAGAGTAGACTGCAGTAATAAGACTGAATCAATGGGTGTATCTCTTAGACTGGGAGCTGTGAGGATGTGCCTTCACATATTGGCAGCGAACTGTCTCTGGGCTCATCTCTCCGCTCTGCGTCTCATAATAAACGGTCACAGAGGATTTCCACGGCCTGTGAGAGGCTTGTTGTGTTTCATAAAAGCAGCGCAGTGTCACATTTCACGTGTGGTTTTTGTGTGTAAATCCCAGTAGAGGTTCATGTTGCTGGAGATGAGGATGATAGTCATTCTGTAAGACAACTCCAGCACTGATGTGTCTAACAGCTGACGTCTGCAGAGGGATTACTGTGAGAAAACTGTGTGAGACCAGACTCAGAATAACTAGAATCAAACTATTTGACCTGAATGTGGAGTCGTCCACTGATCGAGATAAGTTACCAGAGACATTTGTTCCTCAGTCTGATGTGTAATTTGTTGTCATTGGGAGAATGAAGGACACACAATCTCTTCTCTCTGTTATTCATGGTCCTTAAAGCTGTTTTCATCTCATCAACACACACCCTCACATGCTGTATATTCTCACATGGACTCACTCAGACTTTCTCCAGACTCTTTACTCGGCAGCTGCAGGAATATATCTGGAGCAACTGACTCTGAAATTCCTCTAATCAGACATTCATCACTTTTCTCTCAGACGGACTCCATGCCAGCTCTGCATCTCGTGTGTGCTTTCAAGAATCCACCTCAAGAACCACTGGGCCTGACACCGAAGGTGAGAACTGATCTTCACTCACTTTGCACTTTCTTCCTCATGTCCCCTTTTCCTTGAAAATGTCTCACTGCACATGTGAGTAGATGAGATATGGTGAATATTTTCTTGTGTTCTGATGACAGTCAGGTTGTCATGTCCGATGAGCGGAGGCAAACATTTTGTTTCATCCTCACTACACAGTCATCCAGCCACTGTGCCTGTTTGTTGGGGGGGTAACTGCAAATGGGCGAGTAGAAAATCTGATGTATTGTTTTAATGAGATGGTTTAATGTTGCTCGTGTCGGTCAGATTAAAGTTAACTCTGTGTCTTCAAAGGTCCTAAGAAAAGCCGAGTGTAGAACAGTGATGTTCCAGGCTGCAGGTTTAGTTTAGAGACTCACAGCTGCAGCTCACGTCCGTTGGACCGTGGAGCGGAAATGTTTTTTACTTCAGCTGTCGTCCTTCAGATCTCAGCTCAAGCTAACAGATCAGAAGTACAGCTAAAGATAACTCACTCATGTTTCACTGCACTTTCAAGTGTTCTGCTCGAAGCTAACGCTGCAAAGCCTCCAGGTGGTTGTACACCCTGAGCCATAAAACAGCACCGATCACACATTCAATCCGACAGACAAGTTCAAACTCCTCTTTTTTCTGACAGAGCACAGAGACAGAACATGCCCCCCCCTCCAGCCCAAGACGAACAGCACCGAGCCCCAGCAGCTCCTCCACAGTCCAGACTCCGAGCTCACCAGAGCTGAGGCAGCGGAGACCGACGTCTTCCGCCGCAGCTGCTGCTGCTGCTCCGGCTCACACGCAGACCCCAGCGTCTCCACCGTGGAGTCCTGCATGGCCGCCTGCTGCAATGTACGCCACCTTCCTCCGTTTAAAGTGTTTCTACAGCTTCAGTAACGAGAGCAGAGACCAGGATGTTGAAAGAAACCACCTGGAGTCAGATTATTCAAAGTTCACTGAGCAACTGCAGATTTGATTTCAAGCAGACATCTTCAAAACCATTCACATGTTGTCAGCAGCGTTGCCGTTTTCTATCGGTCGTCTCAAGTTTAACTCTAAATTTTAATGCATTAAATATCTGACATTGTTCACGTTACGTTGTTGATTTTTAAGGTTATTGCTCAGACTCATATTTTTAAATTGCTAACACTTCATAGTGACTCTCAGTGAAGGCTTCAACAGATTATAACCTCTCTTGTTTCTGCTGCAGGCCGGGAGCTCCGCAAATCACCCAACCAACGTTTCCCACCTACTCCCTGTACAGCCCCCAACAGCTGCTGTGGCTCCAGCACGTCTACGCTCGACAGTACTACATGCAGTAGTGAGTAGTTTTTTTTATCCATTTAAATTCCTTCCGTCTTTACAGTCTTTCATTCTGTTCTGTCACATGACTCCGTTCGTCTCCTTTTCCACCAACAGTCACGCAGCTTTGGTGGCGGCCGGCTCCGCCCCCTCTCCACCAGCTTCAGTCACTGGCCAGTTCCCTCCGGTTCCTGCCCACCAGGTACCTGTTCCAGCCCCCTTAGCCAATCAGAACCCTATCGACAACCTGCCGGCAAATCAGAACCCAGCGCAGGACGGAGCTTTCATCAACCCGGGAGACGCCAACCAGAACATGCGGATGAACGCACAGGGCGGAGCTGTGATGGAGGACGAGGACGCCGTAGAACGTGACTGGCTGGACTGGTTGTACTCGGCAGCGAGGTTCTGTGTTCTGCTCATGATCGTGTACTTCAATTCCAACCTGAGTCGCTTTCTGATGGTGACGGGCACGCTCCTCCTCATGTACCTGTAAGTACAGTCCGCTCACATTCAGGTTTGACCACTATGAACCTTTACCTGACGGCCTCGAGGGGGGTCGTGATTGTGACAGGGCTTTAAAATGAGTTCTGAGATTTATTGAACGCTCTGAACCTTGGAAAAGAAACAGTCGTCTTCCTGTTTGGGGTTGTTTGAGTTCACCACAGCTCATCTGCGCGTGTGTGATCGCAAGAAGCCGAACAACATATTAAATTAAAGTTGAATTAGGACCACGCTACACAAGAGGAGGGTAATAAAACACCTTTTATATTCAATTAGCTTCGTTCCCTTGTGGACAAAGGAGCTGATGAGTGTCGGCCGAGCTTTTAAAACCTGTTAGACCAGAGGTTGATATTAGAGCAAACAACAAGGCTCTACTCAACAGTAGAGGTTCATTATGGACAAGGTACATGTCACAGTTTGTTAAAGGAGGCTCTTGAACTGTAGCAGGATTTAATATGTGGATGTTTATACTTATATTTTGTATTCATAAAGAAAGAAAGTAAAGAGCAACACAATCTCATGTCCTTTCTAAGGAGAGAAAACACAAGTCTACAACTGGAGACAAAAGCTCTGGAAGCTTCCATCGGTTGAACCAGAGTTAAATATGAAGCTAATTTGAAAATACAACAAACAGTACATATTAAAACACACAAAATATACATGACATTCAGAAAATGGTTTTAAATGTGATCACGTGACTGAGCTCCATTTCTTTCAAACGTTGAGAAACTAAACTTTTGAATAATGGTACGATGACTGTTTTTTTCTTTATTATGAATGTTGACATACTGTTGGTCTGGACCAGTCTATGATCTGGACACAGAACTGATTCTGTTGCGGCGACTTTTGATTATCTGCGACTGGAAATATAAAAAAAACAATCAGTTGTCTTCACTGGTGAATAAAAGCTGCTCTGTCTTGTTACGGTTTCAGGCAGTTTAAGTGTCTGTGTGAGGAGATGAACTGATCCTGAACGCAGTTTGTTGGTCACAGCTGGTTTGTTTGATGAAACATCTGTTGTTCTGCAGGAGGATGTGGTGACTCACTTCCTTTAAATCCAGTTTCTTTATCGAAGTACAGTTTGTTCAGTGCTGCCACAGAACCTGCACTAAATTCAGAGTCTGTGTTTTATCGTGTGTTTTCCGACAGTAAGTGTCGACTCTTTCTGTGGAATCTAGAGAATGTCTGGAGATCAGGCCTCACACATGCAGTTACGTGTGATGTGTAAACTTTCTAGGACGGATTTTAAAGGTTCAAATGATTTACAACAGAATTTTTCATTATGAATCCTTTCTCGTCCTTGGTTTTCTAGACTGAGGTCCCCCTGCTGGGAGTCAGACTGCAGACGTTATGGTCACATTATGTGTATTTAACCACCACAGCACCTCACTTACTTGTTTTCTTTTGTGTCTTTCTCGTCCACAGACACACGGCGGGTTTGTTTCCCTTCAGACGACGACAGGTTCAAGACCCAGACCACCTGCAGCCCCCTGAGGTCCAGCACAACCAGCAGAACGAGAACAGGATCCCAAACCCTGATCCGGTAAGAAACCAGCTCAGATGATCAGATTATTGCTTCTCATCCACTTCTAAAACTCCTCACGCTCTCGTCTGAGTGGTTCAAAGCCTCTGCTTTGTTTGGTCTATTAACTTCCATATAATCACACGTTCCCTTTAAAAGCAGCAGACTGAGGCAGAGAGGACTAAATAAAATCACTGTGATTGTTCCGATGATTATATGTCGTCCTGTCTCTTCAGGCGGTCGAACTGGCCGACAGGGAGGAACCGGCCGCTGCAGCAGACGGACCCGATGAACAAGGACCCATGGCGGCCGTGTTAGTTCCTGCACACAGGGTGTCAGTCATGTGGACGGCCTGGGTTTTCTTCAAAACCTTCTTCTCCTCCCTCATACCCGAGGCTCCTCGGGGTGTGGCCAACTGAAGGCACCGAGACGGAAGACTGTTTATCTTGTGAGAGGGAAACTGTGACCCCTGGAGACGTCGTGTGACATTCAGGTGGAAGGATGAGGCCAAAGAAGAGCTGTTGAAGAAAGAAACACAACACATCAACAGCGACAGAGACCTGCCAACAGAATCTTGGACAGTAAAATGTGACGGAGCTGAAAGTTAAACACCAGCAAAACAGAAAGCAGTGCCAGAATTTTGCCAAAAATGTGGAAACAAAGAAAATGAACAGAGTAGAAATGTCAGACATCATACGAATAGAATAACCGCTGGATCTGAGCAATCAGTTTTTCTTGCTCTGCCTCAAAGCCTCGTAAAGTGAGTGTAGATTCCTGGACGGACCAGTAGGTGGCAGCTGAGGCTAAAATATAAACCTTCTGAGGACGTCTGAACAGTGACTTCTCTGACTCCCTGGATTTTGAAATCAGTTTGCCTGAATTCAGATTTTTCAGCCTATGTTTGATTAAAGCTACAAAAGTAAAATAGATGTTTTTCACTCTCAGACAGTTTCAGCCTGTGGAAGTAAAAAAGAGGTCGGAATAATTTGGACTGAATTTATTTTAAAGTTTCAGAAATGTAAAGATATAATTCAAAACAGGGTTAGGGTTATTTCATCATTATGTTTTATATCTTTTGAATTCAGATGGATGTTAAACAAAGAAAAGTTAAATTTTTTAACTCATTTCTCAGTTGACCATTAGATTCAACTTAATTTGGCCTTTCTTTGCTTCCATACAGTCACTGGACCTAATATTAACCCAGCTCCACTCAAACAGCAGAAGAACCAGAACCAGCAGAACAAAATAAACCTCACGAACAAAAGCTTATGTAAAAATTTTTATCCTGATTCTTTTAATCAAAAACTTCATATATCTTTTAGGGTTTTATTTTGGGTTTTTTTCCATTTCCTAGTTTGACCAAATTAAAATTTGGAGCAATGTAAAATAGTGATGCTGGAGGTGTTATTGTAAAGTCTTGTAAATATTTGTACTCGAAGCACTTTACAACATGTATGTTATGCAAGCGTCTTTACTTATAGAGGGGTTATGATGAACTATTCTCAATGTGAGGATTGCTGATATCAATATGATGCCTGCAGGAACTTTTTAAAATTAATTTAAAGTAGAAATTTGTGCTATTTAAGTCACAGCTAATATCACTTAGGAAGAAAATCTAATAATTTCAAATGCAGCCATTGTGCCTCCTTGTTAATATTTTGTTGTCACTCATTCATTCCACATTATGAGCTAAATGCAGAGCTGTGACACTTCAGATGAAATGACTTCTGGGTAATGCAGGTACCATCGAGTGTAAATAAAGATGGCCGACGCATCTCCACTTCCTCCCACTGTTCAGAAATGAAACGTACACATATTATGCTGTCAATCATTATGTTTCACTGTGTTTCAAACATCATCAACTCACAAATTAAAACTGAACTTATCAGAAACACAGACACTTGAACACGTGTGTATCCCATCCACTAACACGGAGGAGGTGAGGGAACTTTTGGGGAGTCGTCATGTCCATTTTGGTCTTTGCATGGCAGTTACAGGTCTTTTACTCGAAACCTTCAACTTGTGATTTTATGCTGTTGTGTGACGTAAGTTTTGATCTGTTTGGTTTCACATTTATGATTTATTCTATAATAAAGAAAAATGGGATTTACTTTCTTTCTCACAACGTCACTACAGAGCTGGTGGATGATCTTATGTGTGAAGTCATTACTCTGCTTCCTTCAGCTGAATCTGTGGCTTTAATGTTAAAACTCTTTGATTTCGCCCTGTGACGTTTTCTTATGGATGGAATCTGCAGAATGTTGAACACTTGGCAGTAACGGATGCAATAAATACTCCTGACTCCTCCACTGTGCCCGTTTGTCTCAGTCGAGGTCCACGAGGACAACGTTTCTATACATTTCAGTGCAGAGGGAACGAGCAGAGGTTGTTGACCCGGTGTTTAAAAGCCGGGACTCTGAATGTGGCGTCACAGCTAATATTATGACCTTAAATACTCTGGGCTGCACTGACCTCACTACGAACACACGTGTTGCAACACATCGCTCATTCAGGACTCCAGTCGACCTGTGTGAGGTTCTGTTTGTCTCCGGCTGATTCTGCTCCTCTGCCACAGAAAAGTGAAACGACTCTTTAGCTAAATGTTCCACATCGAGTTTATCAGTGGGAGATTTGATGCCGAGTGGTCTTAGTGGGTTTAACTTTGATTTTTCAGGGTCGGTAAGACGAGTTTGTGGTGAATGATGAGGCAGTTTCAGTAACTATTATTGCTTCAGGGAGGTTTTTAAAAGTCTGTTCAAACCACCGGCTGCTTGAATTTCCTCTTCAGCCTCACTGCTACATTTCCCCAGAGGCGAGTGACTGATAAACTGTTAATGGTGTTATGCAGCTTCACAGGCTCTTTGGGCTGCAGCTCCTCCTCCAAGAAAACTTGTTTCTCACAGAGCTTAATTTCTGGAAACGTCCCCCTGGATATTTGTCGAGGGAATCTGGGCGATGCCGTTTTCTAAAATGTTGCCTGTCGTCCCTGCAGCACGCTATTACAGACGTGCATGAACCCAACATCGTCCCCTGACCCGACTCCAGACCTGCAGGTTCCTGTAATCTTGTTGCCCAGCAGTGACTAGAGCTCACTGTGTCTGAATGTTTCTGTCGTTTAGCTTGAGAACAAACCGGACTCTCTCATCTGGGACGTTAACCTCTGAGCGAATCACCACCAGAGAGAGAACAGTTCAAGTTGCACTGAGCCTCTGGATCTAGTTTCACTTGTTCAAAGAGTCTTTGTTGAGAGAAAGTTGGACCCGAACAAAGTCGTAATTCTGTGGAAACATTTAGTGTTTCTCTTTTTGTAAAGGCCCATTCGTAGAGACTCTATTCTGGTTGTTAGAACTTTTGTCATATACTTTCATTACAACCTGCTGTGTAATTTTTTATTTCAACACAGAGAGTCTGAGCAAAATAACTCAACAACTAGATTTTTACCAAACTTATATCAATCAGGGATTTTATGTCCGTGTGATTAACTTTTGAAGCTGATCAGTGAAAGGTCAAGATCAAGGTCAGATATCTCAGTGAATATGAGGCACAAATGTTCACCCAGACTCAGATTAACTGATAAGATTTAGGGGGACAAAGGTTAAAGGTCAGGACCACAGTGACAAAATGTGTGTTTGGCCTCTTGAACGTGATCTTTCAAGTTTGTCTTTGAAAGATCTTTTGTCTTCTTTTGTCACTTCAATGACGAAGTGATAAGATTTCAGTTGTCAAAGGTCAAAGGTCACGGTGACTTCATGAGTCTAACCCTAATCCGACGATAATCTGTTTGATAGATTTAGAGTTTGTGAACCGGCCTGAGATAATTTTAGCAGTTTCATGATTCAAACACTTGCTCTTTGACCAGTTTACTCTAAGTTGACAAATCTGAGTCAGTGTTTGTCCTTCCATCAACTTTGAATCACACACGTTGTCCGTCTCTGATTGGACGAAGGACAGGGTTTCTCAGTACAAAGCTGCCGTACACAGAGCCCTCCCCGACACGGGAAAAAACAAGGTCAGTAGACTGTAGTCTTCTCTCAGCAAGAACAATCAACGCTCGTGGAATCTTAAAGGGACCAAAAACTGAATTTAGATCAGATACAGAAGCAGAGAGACTCAGAAGTTTCTGACTGAACCTGACTCAGCTGCTTCAGAAGAAAACTAAGGGACAAAGACGGTGAACTGAAAAGTCCACAGGGTTAAAGGTCTCAACAAACTCAAAGGAAAGTTGAAACATCCACGTGGACAATGACTTGTGATGTTTTCCCACCGCTGCTGCTGCTGCTGATCCTGTCTGTGTTCGGGGCGTCCCATGGCTGCCTCCAGGACCCCGCTGCCGCCTACAGATTCACCGGAGCCGTGTGCCGCCTCACCCACCCTGCTGCTGCTGTGTGTGAGTGGGATCTGGACCCAGTTTTCATACTTATACACAAGAACTAGTGCAATTCGTCTTCTAGATCAACGTATTCATTCATCCTTTTGTTTAATAACCTGCCAAAATCCTCAAAAGCAAGTTCCTACATTACCTGATGTTCACAACTTAGTGTTGTTCGGACTCTGTGCTTCAGAGAGTCCACGTCTAAAAAAAACTAGAGTCACTCAGTTGAGTTCAAGGCCCAACAGTCAAATCAATTTGCACCAACACACACTCATGGATATCAGTCTCCTAAATATGTCTGATTTTATCCTGAAGATCGATGGATCCTTCTCTGAAAAAAATGTGTCTTAAAGATTTTGCAAAGTAAATTTGTGGATCCGAGCCCCTGATTGTAATCTGCTCCAGAAGTTAATGAGTTCTTCCCAGGCCCATACTGCATCCTCTCACTAAGGTTCATGGAAATCCATCCGGTAGCTTTTATCTTGTTCACAAACAAACCAACAAACGGCCGGATACAGGTGGAAACATAACCTCCTTGCTAACAATAGACGTTAGCGTCAAGTCTCTTTATTTAAAGCAGGTTCGTCAATATTTACAAGATATTAGATGTGATTTTCTTGTATTGACACAAAACAGAGAGCAAATAAGGACATCTGCGGACGCTGAGGTATTTGGGTTGTGTCATTGTGTGTGTTTGTGTGTGTTTGGGAGGACTACGATCAAAGTCTGTTTGGGGCGACTCTGTCCAAATGTTTCGAGGCGGTGGTTTGTGTGTAGTTGGGTAATGATCACCTGTGTGAGCTTCAGAGAGCAGACGTTGATTCTCCTCATCGAGAACACGTGGTGCAGGATTTCATCAGCCGGTCATGGTCCGTTCACTGCAGCTGTGTAGTGAGAGGGTTGTGGAGATTGACGATGCAGCCAGGGTTTCCCAACAGCAGCCGGAGACGAACCTTTCACTTATCAACATTCTTTCTTTCTTTTAATGGAGCAAAACATAAAAACCTCGACCTGAAAGGACAGTTTCTGTTCTTTCCTTTCAGTCTGTCCTCCTGTGTCTCATGCTGCCTTGTTGATTGGCCAACTACTCTCAGCTGTGTCACGTCTCCCTGGTTCACCTGAGCCTCCTTCACCTCCAAGAGTTTGGTTTGGAGCAGATTCCCTGAACCTGCAGGACAGAGTCAGCAGCCTGCGTCTGATTTTTATTGTCTTGTGTGATGAAGGCTGATTTCAGTACAGCCACTAGGTGGCAGTATAGTTCTGTGGTAGATGTTGGCTCAGACTTTTATACAATAAAAATCTTCTGAGGATTAAAAGAAATTGAGAATTGCATCAAAACATTAGTACAACATCTGAAGTTAAAGCAACAAGACAACTATTTTACCTTAAACCACAAGTTTGATGTTTCACACTCAGCTCCAGACAGTGAAGAGTGAAGCTGAACTGTGGATCAGTTAAAAACACTGAGACGTTTTTAAAAACCAGAGTTTATCTCCATTATTCAACAGGAAACTTTTAAAACATGAAGAACTCTGAGCAGCAGCTCTTCTGGTTCAGGAAGCAGAGGATCATGGGTAATCTCCAGTGTTCAGCCAGTGGGACGACACAGTCAGAGCCCAACAGAATGAATCACCACACGTGGCTGCAGGGGGCGCTGCTGTTCAGTTACCCTTACATAGTGTTGCTATAAAGTGTTAATTATGATCTTTAACAAAAGCTCTGTGTGTGTGTGTGTGTGTGTGTGT